TATAATATAATATATTTTATATATATTTTTATAATATATATTATAATATATATAATATATGTTATATATGTTATATGTATATTAATATATGGTATAATATATGTTATATTTTATAATATATGTTTTTATAATATATATTATATATAATATATTATATATATATTATATATTATAATATATACAATAATTTATCATATGTAATGTTGCATAACAATTATGAACACCTGTCTACTTCTTTTTAGGTGTGCACTGGTGTATACAATCCCCACCTGCCCTTAACTAACACCAATGGCATGATGATGGTGTCCCATGATGATGGAGATCTGGCTCTGAAACCACATCTAATAGAACCATGTCATATCGTGGAGGACGTGGATGCAGCCGTGGATCTGGTGCTGCTAGAGCAAAACTCTTAAACCCTGATCTGCAAGTTTGAGCTGCGACCCTGTTGACGCGCAGAGCTCTCACACTGTATTTAAGGACTTGATGTGTTTGGAGTGGACAATTTCGGTTTTTATTGTAATTTAGCAAGCTTTCAGCAGCAGAGGTATGATATTTGACAACATCCTGTCCTCGTCCCAAGTTAAGAAATTCAGTTGTAAAGTTTGAATGATTTTTGGATATGACACCTTCAACCAACGTGGTAAAATCACAAGGAATCCCTGCTACTGACAGAATTGCCTTAGTAGATATTACCTTAACTTTAACCAAGTAAAATTCACCAGTAAAACCAGTGTGAAGACTGTTCTAACATTGTATAAAGTTTACATTTAACTTTCATTCCCTATCCATTAATTTTTTTAATCTAAATTCTTTGAGTTCCATAAGTAAGATATGTGATTAGTTTTGTTTTTCCATAAAATATGATCCGGAGAGGATCCAAAATTCAAACAAAGATAGTCATAGTTTAAAGTAAAATATATAATTATTTCACTATATATTGAATTATTTGCTAGTCCTGTGTTTCACAGCATCATGAAATTGAGTTGAGAGAGCGCATCGCGTCCTGATACCAAAACCACCATCCACCTTTGGAGGTTTTGAAGCAGCGGAAGGAATATGCAGAGATAGAATTTGTATTTAAGGAAAGAAAATTTGGCTCCAAACCCCGTTTCCTGCAAGGATGAGGGGTCTTTTATCCGGAGGGAACCGTGTTATACGACTCGGTGGAGGAGGCGACCAGCAACATGGAAAAAGGGGATTCCAGGTAACGGTCATCAAACGCACGGAGATTTTATTGGAGCAGATCCGAAGATTATCATGGCGCACAGCGAGAAAGACCAATGACCAGATTAACAAGGATCATAACCGGGACTATAGTTAGAAACACCAAGTATTCAGACGCCAAAAAAAAAAAAAAAAAAAAAATAGAAAATTAGAATGTTAATGTGACTCGTGGTGAGTTTTTGATTATTTTTCTTTCTTCAAGACTTTCCCGGAGAGACAGACAAGGCAAAGACCCGTACATGATTAGGGTTTTCTTCGTTCTAAAAATAGGAACAATGATTGGCGATAGAAACATTAAAAACGGTCGGACACTGGACACTGAGGCAACTGAAGGCCCTTTACCACCATTTTTTCATTTTATTTTAAGGAACACGAGAAACTAAAACGAAAGGATTTTACATGTGTCCTTCTCTTATAATTCTGGACAACGAAGAGAAGTCACTATTCATTTTTTTTCAGGCAAATTACAATTTGAAAAAATTATTTCATATAAGTGATAAGGAGGGACGATTGATATTAGTTAGAGCAGTGTTTCTCAAACTGTGGTACGCGAGCCCTCTCTAGTGGTGGCTTTCCTCACTTGTGATCACATTCCCCTCTCTGTCCTTAATCAACCTCACGGGCGCACATCCTTCCCAGCTTAATTTCTCTGTCTCGCTAATCTATACAACTCCTTTTCTGTGCAAAACACGGTCAGGGGCCGGATTTCTTATCATCCATGTGACCTGTAGGTTTCCATCTTCTAGGTGCCAACCGTATCCAGCAGGTGATAGAGCACCTTTATTTTGTTTGACACAGGACCTCATGACTGCAGCCTGATAATTTGCCCTTTTGCAGTGCTGCTGGAGGGCATCGCTTGTAGGGGGAATAGACAATTCTGGCAAGTCTGATGATGCCATACAGACAGTCTTGTACCAAGCCTCACTGACATTTTCAGCAGCTGGCTGATCATACAGGTGACAATTGTTGAGTGGTCCAAATTAAAGTTAGCACCCATATTTTTAAAAGCCTTAAGGTGCTCTTCTTTCTCACATGCTACAGAAAATGTCTTTTTTTTTTTTTGCATTTACCATAAAAGGCACTTGTGGAGTTACACCCAGAGAGTGTATGTATGACAATCAAGGCTGAACACACACTGGTTCCGAGAGCTGATGACACCTTGGTAATGTCAATGATGCGTGTCCTGTTGCCCGTTCCTGTGAAAAATGATAAGCTGCATGGTAAATTTGTCTGCAGACTTACAGCGATGACTGCCACATCAGTGTCAGTGTCACATTCTCCATGATCACACTGCAGGGCTTCAACAGCATGAACAGATTGTACACCCTCCATTACAGTCACACAGTGACATTGATCCCTATGTGTTATGTACAAGCTGAGGTTTTTGCCCACTCCTGTAAGTCTTGAAAGTATTGAAATCTACGCATGTTTAGTACATCAGGCCGCAGGTGTTAAATGCCTCAGTCCTCCATACAACACATACCATGAAATAATACTTAAATAATTAATGTTTTTTTTTTACAGAAAACCATACAACATAGGACTATGAAATAATAAAATTGTTTTTTCTTTACAGAAAATGAATTCATATCTAAATTAATGATACATTTGTGTATTTAATACCATTATTTCATTATATCCATACCTTGTAACAAGGGATCACGAAATTATTATACATTATAAAATTATTACATTATAATATTATTATTTTTTACAATCTTTTAGTCGTCCACTTTTAGTTAGGGTACAGGCTCCTAATGATTTAAACTGAATGTAAAGATCATGTAATCAAAGACACTAAAAAAATAAAAAGAAACAATGCGTATAAGGCAAGTTTTTATATATCGTTTTTATTGTGGTTATAGACAGAAATTGTGAGAGCCAGGCTGTGAATGTGTCATGATAACATTTTAATTCATTTATTTATCCTCGCTGACCTGCTAAACATGGCGACAAAAACAGGACGCATGAAAACAGGAAGCGGGTACTCCGCCAGGCCTGCGCAGTAGCTCAGCCCGGGTCCCTGTAAAGATGTCTGAGCAGGCGGGGAGGGAGCGGAGCGGAGGACTCGAATTAAACGGGCAGAACTCAGGACTCTCCGCAAACACACCGGTAAAGGTAAGGGCAAATGGCCCCGAATGATCACTAAAAATGCATCCAGGTGTGGTGGAAGGTCCGGGCCATCGGATATCCTGGGTAAGGTGCATGCACGGGGGTTAAGTCCAAAGAACAAGACCGAATTGTTTTGCAAGATGGTCTTCACCGTGGTAGGGGCGTGTCCGCCATCTTGTGTAAGAAGTGGCGCCTAAACAACAACCGTCGACCTAAGCGGGTCACGCGAAATGGCCGTTAGGAACGGAACTATCGGCGGCCCGTTACCATATCTGCGTATTTGAGTAATAATAGCGTAGTTAAATTGAACGGGACATGGTACCGAGAGGCTGTGTGTGGAGCCTGGGCTCAGTCGGAGCAGCAGCAGCCTTTTGTTGAACCCCTCCTCCCCCTCATATCTTCCCCGCTTCCCTCCGTGTTTGTCTCAGAGGATGTAAGTGCGCATGCGTGTAACCATGGCGCTCTACAGTGTTGGGTAAAAAAAGGCGCATTTAAAAACACGACGGATCTGCTGATAATCGATTACCAGAAAGTCATTCAAAAGCTGACTTGTGTCTTATTGTGCCAATATCGGTACGCCATGATGAAACGTCTCAGCCGGACGCCGTCATTTTTCTATTAACACAAACCTTTTAATGTTTACACAAAAACTGCAGTCGTCTGTCATACTAAATAAATATTTATCATGACAATAATAGTACAATAATAAACACGTTTGCTAAGTCTTATTTGAACAACATACAATGAAGCTACACAATCAAATGGTCTGTAATTGACAAAGGCTTCACCCAGAACTTGTGACCAATGGGGTTTGGGTTCAAATAATCTCTCACCTAAAAGCTTGTCCTGAAGATATTTTCTATAATGTACTTTATATAATATTTCATTTAGGGTTGTCAAATACCTTTACTACTTGAGATGGATAAATGAATGGATGGAAGCAGCAGCTGTAGGTGGATGATCCTAAATTCCCTGAAGCAAACTTCCGTGGGATTAATAAAGTTCTTCTTTGCTGCAGTAGTATGTGAACTACTTGTCAATGTGACAGAGCACACAACGAAATGTGACCTCTGCTTTTAACCCATCACCAATGTGCCTAGGGTGTGCAGTGTGTGGGGACAGTGCCACGGTAGCTGGTGGACTCGAACCTGATGCCTTTCAGACCCAAGTCCGCTTCCTTAACCACTAAGCGCACACACAGCTGTGGCTTAGTGCTTAAGGAATCGGACTTGGGTCTGAAAGGCATCGAGTCCACCAGCTGCCAAGTTACCACTGAGGCAGCTTAAAGCTGTTCACTTTGGTGATTAAAAGCGGAGGGCACATTTCGTTGTGTGCAGTGGTGTCGCAATGATAAGTAGTTCACTTTCTGTACTTCCTTTCCAATTGGAGGTCAGAGTAAGAACTAAGAGATGTCATTTTTTTTATAATTTAATAAATATTTGACTGAATTGCAGTAATTTGTTTCTGAGATCCACATTTGCATTAGATTGAACAGTGTTTTCAAAGCCAAGACCATTTTATCATGTGAACACAGAATAAAATACTAGTAAACAGTACAATACACGAGGCTCACATTTCCACAAATAAAGAGAATATATACAATAGCCCACATGTTATTTACATAATATATATATTTACATAATATAAGTGTATAATTGTGTGGGTAACAAAAAAAAAACCCAGCTCATCTGATCTTTAGTCTACATAATATATATATTTACATAATATAAATGTACGAAGCAATTGTGTGGGTAACAAAAAAAACCCCCAGCTCATCTGATCTTTAGTCCCATGAGTATTGATGGAATAGCAGGGTAATTACACATCCAAGTTTAACTTGTTGATGGACCTGTTGGTTTTAGTTTTATCATCTCATTTTCATGATTTGTTGATTTGTGTCTGTGGTCTGTTCCTGCAGGTGGCTATCTTTCTCATGAACAGTTAAAATGTCAAGTGACAGCCAGGGATCGGTGAAGGGGGAGGCACCAGTGATTTTGTCTCCCTCCAGCTCCACCTCCTCCCAAGGATCACCTCTATCTCCTTCCACCAAACCACCTGAGCTCCCAGGTACAACCTTTATCTCTCTCTTTGACCTGGACCTGGACCACCCACCCCTCTCTCTCTTTTTGTCCATCTTTCTCTCTCTCTCTCTCTCTTCCCCCATCTCACTCTTTCTCTGTCTCTTCCTTCTCCGTCCTTCTCTCTGTCTCTCCCTCTCTCACCCCCCACCCCCCTGGCTCTCTGTCACCGTCTCACTGCATGCTGGGAGTTTGGAGTATGATTGTGTGAGGCACATGGGAGTGGAGTTGTTTGAGAATCGTTTGCTTTTATCCATAACTTTTATCTTTCATCAGCAAATAAGTATTTTATAACATTGGTTTGTATTATATTTCAGTCGATCTAATTGGTTGGGTTTATTGTCAGTCATGGTGTCCCTCTCTTCTGAGGTTTTGTCTGCGCTGCCAATCAGACATGGTGTAGAGTCGTGGCTGACTCCAAATATACAGTGGAGCAGGTTCTCCTGGCAGTGGGAGAACAAAACGGACATGGAAATATAACATACGTTTCTTGGATGAACAAAGCAGTAGTTGTATTTGTTTGTGATAAACACTTGATAAACTTGCTAGTGGATAGAGGCCTGGTATTAAATTGAGAGTTTTTTGCAGCGTGTCCTTTGTTTCTGCCGTACATCCGCATCACTGTGTTTGGTGTCCTGCCCTTCATCCCAAACAATCCCATTCAAAAAGAACTGAGTTGTTTCAGAAGATTTGCCAGTGGACTGAGAACAATGCGCCTTGGATCTAAAGATGCCAGACTGCAACACGTTCAGTCTCTGCAAAGACAGGCTTTTATGTATTTGAGCAACCAGGCACAGTTCATGGACATTTCATTTATTTTCTTTCCACACTCCGGGAGCATGAAATACTTTAAATGTGGTGATGTCGACCACAAAAACTCACTGTGTCAGCACAGCGAGCAGCTCTGTCACCTGGAAGTGACGTTGCAAGGCAGTCAACTGAGCCAACGTGGCCTGCGATACACTTCACTGCCTCGCCGTGAGAGACAGAACACAGTAGGACTGGTGACAGGCGGCCTCATACAGGCACTGAAAGAAAAGCGCAAACATAACATGTATGTGACAATGACACACAGACACATAAATAACGAATCTAAAACATCAACAACATCACCAATCTGTCACACTAGAACATCAACAACATCACCAATCTGTCACGCTAGGAAAGGAAGGAAAGTGAGGAAAGTGAACTACTTGTCATTGTGACGAAATGTGAACTCTGCTTTTAACCCATCACCAAAGTGAACAGTGGGCAGCTTTAAGCTGCCCAGCTGCCCAGGACAGTGCCTTGCTCAGAACTCAGTGGTAACTTGCCGACTCGGTAACTCGAACCTGAAGTCTTCCCGACCCAAGTCCGCTTCCTTAACCACTAAGCCACCTCTGCCCTATTATACGTTAAAAGAAAAAGTTTTTTGGATGAAATCTTTGGCCCCCCATCAGTTGACTTTATCTTCAATACAGATAATTTTATTAACTCAGTTATAAAACTGAGAAAAACATTTTCTGGGAACATTGGAGACTAACAATCGATGAATATTTTGATATAGGAAAAACCCAAGGTAAACTTTTTTGGCCAACAATACTTTTATGACACTAGACACAGAGATTTTTAATTGATGCAGATTTTGGAAAAAGAGATTTTTTTTTTCTGGAAGAAAATCATAGCAGTGGTGGCCACACTTATGACCATGTGATATTTCATTTTTTCTTTTTTAATAAATTTACAAACATTTCGACATTTCTGGGTTTTTTCTGTCAAGATGGGGTGCTGAGTGTACATTACTGAGAAATAAAATGAACTTTTTTGATTTTAGCAAATGGCTGCATTGAAACAAAGAGTGACAAATTTAAAGGGATCTGAATACTTTCCGTACCCACTGTAGATCTTCTAAAAAACTGGAGACCTGTCTCTTTATAATATATAGACTACAAAATCATCGTTAAGTGTCTTTCTAATAATCTCAAAAAAATCCATGGACTCAATCATACACTTCCAATCAGACTTTGACAATGGACAATTTGTTTTTAATTAGAGATCTTACAGACATACTGTAGTGACACAAGAACTGGAAGTGGAGCTGTTTTTCTTACATCAGGAAAAAGCTTACACCTTTTTATTTAATAAATGTTAAAAAAAAGTGCTCTGACCATGGCACAGTTCCCACACACTGCTTAAAGCTCCCCCTGCTGACTTAGGTGATGGGTTAAAAGCAGAGGTCAGCCACAACTTTGCTGGTTTATAGCTGTAGCCAGTTCCTCAAGATGGACAAGGGACTCAAGGGACGCTATGGTTGTATCGTCCAGTTGTGGTAGGCCAGTGAGAATCTCCCACATGGATTCTGGAAAAGTGTGTGCAGTGGTGTGCTGTGTCACGATGACAAATATTTTACTTTCACTTTCATATTTGCTCACAGTTACTCAACCAAAAATAGCACACCCCTCACCCTGGCAAACTTTTTTTTTTTTTAAATTAAGCAGAAAAAATAAAAGTTCCACAGACTAAGTCACTTTTCATCATATGACCCCCAGCTTGGAAGTCTTGGTTTTACATTTCTTGTAGGTTTTGCTTGTTTTTTATTTTTCTTTTGTTGAAAAACTCTTTCTTATTTTAGTTTTTCTAAGCGTGTAATTGTCTACTCTCAATTAATAAAGAAGAACTCAAAGGTCTCTCTCTCCTTCTCTATCTCTCTCTCTTTCTCTTTCTCAGATGAACTTGTACAGGCTGGCTGGTCTAAGTGCTGGTCTCGGAGGGAAAACCGACCTTATTACTTCAATAGATTCACCAATCAGAGTCTGTGGGAGGTCCCAGTTCTGGGTCAGCATGATGTCATTGTGAGTCAGTGTAACCTGACAATATTACCTATGTGGACACAGTGAACTGTTGCCCTCATCTGTCAGTCTGTCCCCAGTCTGATCCTTTAGGGTTGAATGCAGCTCCAGCAGAGGCTGGAGACACCAACCAAGGTAATGGTCAGAGGAAGAGGAGGATCTCTGAGGAGCAGGGCGTGGGGCCTAACAGCCTTAAACGTTCTAAGGTAATGGAGGACAAAACTCGACCTGACTGTAGAAATTAGCATTAGCCTTAGCACGAGTGTTGAAAACAGTCAGGACTCGACCTGACTGTAGAAATTAGCATTGAAAACAGTCAGCCTTTAACAGCTTTAACATGTTCTGGATGCAGGTGGAACCCACCACACCCATCTCCCCCAGCACACCTGGCCTAAAGCCCTGGAGCGCTGCTCCCGAGGACAAACCGGCACAGACGACCACACCCACTACACCAAGCCCCGCCCCCGCGCCTTATCGACCAGCCGTGTGAGTAGTGGGACCGGGTGTCTTTCTGTGTGCCGCCTGTGTGGTCCTACTAACTGATATTCCTGTGTTTAGGATTTACTGGGACCTGGATGTTCAGACCAATGCTGTGATCAGAGAACAGGCCCCTGCCAGTCACCTGCCCCCTCACCCTGAAATTGAACTGCAGAGGGCACAACTGGTCACTAAACTAAGACAACACTATCATGAGCTGTGTCATCAGAGAGAAGGTGGGGTCTGATGTTCGCGCAGAAACGCTAGTGTTGTAGTGTTTGCATTTCTTATGAGAAAAAAAATAGTCATCGCGCTAGTGTTGTAGTGTTTGCATTTCTTGTGAGAAAAAATAGTCCTCAGTCTTTGCTGCTGTTGAACTAGGCACTCCTGGTCCTTTGTTCCCCCCCTCCCCCATGGTCAGTTTATGTTCTGATGTTAAAAAAAACTTGACTGACTCAGGTTCCTGGAGGAGGTTCTTCCTCCTCATCTGTAAGAAGATGGGAAGTGAGAGGTCAGAAGACTGAGTCAGTCCAGTTCCTTCTGCTCAACCTCTTGATGAGATGACCTGGTGGACTGACTTCACACACAGAAGTCACTCCTCACAGTGACCACTGTGCGTGTGGGACTCGGTCCACCGGGTCATTGCGACGAGTGACCTCTGACTTTGTTATGTTTCTGTGGATGTTCTTAAAACGGGGTGGACAAAGAAAGACAACTGACGTGTGTGTGTGTGTCTATCTGTGTCTCCGTTTAGGTATTGATCCTCCACGGGAGTCATTCAATCGGTGGCTACTAGAGAGGAAGATTATCGATAAAGGTCATGACCCTTTGCTACCCAGCGACTGTGACCCTGTCATCTCTCCATCCATGTTCAGAGAGCTGATGAATGACATCCCCGTCAGGTCAGCGCCTCCTTGTTTGTCTGTCCTTGTGGCTGTCACTCTGTCACCCGTATGTCTCTCCTCAGACTGTCTCTGACCTGTCTGTCTCTCCTCAGGCTGTCTCGTATTAAATATAAGGAGGAGGCCCGGAAGCTTCTCTTTAAATACGCTGAAGCTGCCAAGAAGATGATCGACTCTAGGTAGACCAGTCCTGTCCAGTAGTGCTGTGTCATTATCCAATGTGTGTGCGCTCTGACCTGGCTCTGTGACCTGTACAGAAATGCCAGCCCAGAGAGCAGGAAGGTGGTGAAGTGGAATGCTGAGGACACCATGAGTTGGCTTCGTCGAGATCACTCTGCCAGCAAGGAGGACTACATGGTACCAGCACTGGACAAGTCCATTCACAGGCTCCCGACAGCCGAAACACACCTGACATTTCTGTGTGTTTGTGCGCCCGCGTGTGCATGTGTAGGACCGGCTGGAACACCTGAGGCAGCAGTGTGGGCCTCATGTGGCTGCTGTCGCCAAAGACTCTGTGGAGGGAATCTGCTCCAAGATCTTCCAGCTGTCATCCGAGTACAGTCGTCGACTGAGGCAAACACATCTTAGTCTGCTGCAGGACCCGTCCCCTGCAGGTACAAACAGCTCCACCTAACAGTGGTTAACTCACATGTACTCACAGTCTAATATGTGAATGTGTGTGTCCAGCAGAGACGTGTGTGTCTCCTTCGCAGCAGTCGCGCCTCGTCTACTGTTACCCGGTTCGTCTGTCCATTCCCACGCCACTGCTGCCTCGAGTGGAGCTCCACTTTGAGAATGACGTTGCGTGTCTCCGCTTTAAAGGAGAGATGGTGAAAGTGAACCGGGGTCACTTCAGTAAACTGGTCAGTGTTTCCTGTTTAAGCTACGTTTTTCTTAGCAAACTCTTGATTTAATTTGGCTGTTTTGAGCTAAATTTAAGATAACCTTTAGTGGTCATTTTGAATGAGTGCTGATTCATGAAGACAGTTGTTATTTCTTATTCCATCTGGACGGCTTTCCACCTGGATATTTATTCTTGCTTTCTTCTACTTCTATAAAAGTCACACATTTTCCTCACGACGGCAGCCAACAGGCAGCAAAAACGACACATACATGGTCAGAAAAACAAACAGTCACGACGACGTGTCACCAGAACGTAGGGCTGGGTATCAATCATTTTGCAGTTTTCAACAACAATTCCCTTTTTTTTTTCAATACAATATAATTTTATAATACCAATGCTAACAAAAAGAAAATGACATTACATATTACAGAACAATTCCTGAGGGAGTTTGTTAGCTCAGGTAATTTTTCATCACAGAAAAAATAAACAACAGATAATTTCCATAATGGGTAAATGAACAGTCTGTGAGCATAACCAAAAAACATTGCTGATAACCACATATGTATTTTTTCCCTGCACGACGCAAACATGTGTAACGATACAGCCAATCGCCAGCAGCATGATCAGATCTTGATCCCATGATTAACATTGGATGATTTTTTTGATACTTTTTACTACCGACGCATTTGGTTCAGTAGCATAAAAGAACCGAAGTTTGGTACAGGACTTACCTGATGCCAGCGTGTTGTTCTGATGGACTTCATTCTGCAGTGTCTTCCTGTAGGACTCCTAACAACTGGAGGATCTCTGAAAAATATTGTCACTTCACTGTACACGCAGAGAGCAGTGTTTTGAACTGGTCCAGCAGATTGTCTGTTGATCTGTCTTACCTTCCCCCTCTATACAGGAGCTCCTGTACAGGTACAGCTGCATAGATGACCCTCGTTTTGAGAAGTTCCTGTCAAGAGTCTGGTGCCTCCTAAAGAGATACCAGGTCAGCTGACTGTGCCCACAAGTCAACGTTTTTTTTTGGCCTTTTCTCAGGCGTTACAACTAATTGTGTGTATGTTTGTGTGCAGGAGATGTTTGGCAGTGGTAATGAGGGGACAGGCCTGCAGGGGGCACTACCTGTAACTGTGTTTGAGGCATTGAACCGACAGTTTGGTGTTTCCTTTGAATGTTTTGCTTCGCCGCTCAATTGCTACTTCAAACAATTCTGCTCCGCCTTTCCGGACGTCGATGGCTTCTTTGGCTCCAGAGGGTAAAACACTTGGACTGCATCCACATGACCAGCCATGCTCACATAATACAGCTGTTGTCAGAGTAACTATCTATGTGCTATATAGGCCCTTCCTGACCTTCACTCCAGTCAGTGGATCATTTGAAGCCAACCCCCCTTTCTGTGAGGAGTTTATGGATGCCATGGTGACACACTTTGAGGTCCGTGATGTTACTGACTGTGGGGTATGTATCTGGCTCTGGTCCAAACTCACAATAATTCAGTCCTGTCTGTCATCAGGAGCTGCTAGGTCAGTCGTCAGAGCCCCTGTCCTTCATCGTCTTTGTTCCCGAGTGGCGTGACCCTGTGACCCCAGCCCTGACCCGCATGGAAGCAAGTGTCTTCCTTCGTCACCAGCTGAGTATCACAGCCTATGAACACGAGTATCGCTCTGGTAGCCAGCATGTCTGCAAGAGGTACTAGTACTGCAACTAAAGTCTCTTATCTTTACACACACACACACACGGTGGACTCCCAAGATACAAGCTACCCAGAATACGAGTATTTAATGTTATGAGTCTGCAACTATTGCAAGTCTGCAGTCTAGTTACGAGTGCTCAACCCAGGACTGGCAGCCATTCAGTCGCTGGTAGCTTTGTTTACCTAGAGGACATCGAACACGGCATTGTGTTCCTCATGCTGATTGGCTCATGCATCGTAGCATCTCTCAGCATCTCCCCTTGTCTGTCTGCCTCTCACTCGTTCACTTTGCTCTGCACCGTATGTCGCTGTAAAGTTTGTGCTCTCGTAAGACGCTGACACAGATGACAGTTAGCAGCCTTTTTTTTTTTATTTTTCTTTACGATATTGTGTGCTCCTTAGCTGTGCCTGGCCAGTATGCACTCCTCTGTTTACTCTACTCTCTCTTTGGTCCTGGCTTCTACTAAAAATAAGGAGAGGCTTGATTACTCAAATTGGGCTCACCTGCATTATACAACTCTACTGTGCATATAATTGTGTGGGAAAGGGTAAAACAGTCTAGGGATGGTTGATAACAATGTGGGGGAGGTTCGTAAAGGGTCAATGTATATATAAGTAATATAAAAAGTATCTCGCCTCTACCTTGCATATCTCGCCCCTACTTTGCGGTGGGTCTTGGAACACAACTACCGTGACAGGAGAGGGATCACTGTTTGTTTATTTATATTTTTATATATATATGTGTGTGTGTGTGTATATGTATATATATGTATGTATATATATATGTATATACTGTATATATGTATATATATGTATATGTATATATATGTATATATGTATACAGCCTCGACACTGTCGCACTGTCCCGCTCACTGTCCCTCGCTTAGTTATTTTTTAGCTGTCGCCATTTCTCTCTTTCTCTCTCTCTCTTTATATATATATATATGTGTGTGTGTGTATGTATATATCCACTTTGGTATTTGATTATACTATGTTGCTATGGTTACAGGGAGGAAATGTACTACCGTGCTGTCCATGGAACCGCCGTCCTCTTCCTTCAAAATGATGCAGGTTTTGCAAAGTGGGGTCCGACCCCCGAACGTCTATCGGAACTGACGGCAGCGTTCCGCCCTGCTACCTTGCGCACTTCTTTCCTGTCCTCTCCTGGCCCCGCCCCCATTATACCTGGGGATAGAGACTCTACTTCCAAACCCTCTGAAAGGACACAGAGTACTGTGAGGTCACCTGAGGGTCACGACAGCAACAACAACAGTAACAACAGCAACAACAGTAGTCCTCAAGACAAGATGGCTGCTGTGTAGGGAGGCGGAAGTTAGTGTGAAGAGCAGGCCCCTCCCTCTGTGCGCTTCGGTCAGGCTGGATTTGTCCTGATCATCGTCTCATCTGTTCACCAGCACATGCACCCCCCCACCCCCTTCAAACAGAAGAGTGACATAAAGACCTGTTGTCACTTCTTGTGCTTCACTTATTCACGTGCACTCAGCTCACCATGATTGGTGGAGGCTCTGACATCAAAACACCAGGAGCTCCTGCTCATGACAGCGTCTCCAATAGTACAGATAAATAAAGTTTCTGTGATGTAACCGGTCATTGATGCTCTTGCTATTGATTGACAAGGCAGCTATCATTTCTATTGGATGAAATCCCGCCATCCTGTTTTTAAGTGAAGGTGTCGGACTCTGATGCGTTTACTCCTGACGTCTGTGTGTCAGCGGCTTCTGTGATTGGCTGTTGGTGTAGATAATGTACAGTGATCGTTTCCTCATCTGTCTTTCCTTATTTTTATTCGATTAATTTAACATTGTTTTTGTTTGTTTTTTTTTTTAAGAAAAGCTTTGTTTGAACTAAACCAAAGTGTCAAAGGTCAGTATGTAATGTTAGAAAAGAATCTGATGTTTTTATCTCTGCATGAATCAGCTGATCCTGAGGTTAAGGCCAGACGACAAACTACAGACTGACAGACCACAGATGGTACATAGACCTACAGACAGACTGAACAGTTTAATCAAAAAGTAAACTGTTTGAATTCCTGCTACAATTATCTGGCGATGACAACCAAGACACTGTTCTCTCCAGTTTCCTTGTCAACTGGTACCCGTACAAACGCGTCAGCTGCAGAATTGTAAATAGTGTGTCCTTTTCCTGCAGGTGAAGTAGTGGAATTGCAGTTCAGTAAAACTATATCCAAACAGTGACCTGCCTCCTCTTTCTCTCGTGACTGTGTTCCGACCTGGATGTTCTTACATTTCTTCTCTCCATTGTGTGTGTGTGTGTCATCTTTTCTTCGACACTGACTGAAGGGTCTGTTGGTGGACAACTGTTCAGAAGAAGAACTGTTCAATTCGAGCTGCTCCATATTTCGGTTCCCTCACACTTGTCCCACCCTTCATTTTCTTGACTGGTCCATGTAGTTCTTGAACTTGCTGCATTCCAGTCCTGACAGTTTCAGACTACAAATATTTGGGTGTACGCGGGACACTGAATGTTCCACATTGACGTTTTCTTACCTTCTAAACAGTTGGTATTATTCGAACCTTCTTTATCGAATGCGCATGCTCTCCACAGGTGTGCGTACGTTTTCTACGGGTACACAGTTTTTGACTCTAGATTGACTGTAGGAGCATCGTGAGCGTGAACTGTTGTTGTGTTACTATGATGCCCTGCGAACTGTTGGAGCCCAACGCCCCCCTTCCACCGTGCAAGAGAATATGCGGTAAACCATACTGCCTTTATTTTGATACGCGGATGTGACGTAATTGCATAGGAAACAAAGTAACGTCAGTATCCTGTATTTATCAATGTTGGAGAAAATCGATCGATGATCATCTGATAGTTATTAATCAACGATACTGTTGCTCACTATATAAAGAGGCGGATCAGCGGTAAAACCTGTGAAGCCTTCATTACAACAGCGTTAGCCTTTCTTGTTTACTCTTAGCTTAGCTTAGAGTAAAGCATAGCTAGCTCGGCTTGGCCCCTGGTCCTAGTGGACAGAACCAAAAGCAAGAACTGTTGTTATGGGAGCCCAGCGAAGCGATGAGAGCCGGGACTGGCCGCAGGAAGACAGGGAGGAGCAGCCAAAGCAACCCGTGGTGAGGAGCGGAGGGACTTTAGATTTCTGTTGTGAGTGGGAGCAGAGGTACTAACCGTGACATCTTATTTTCAGAATCCGTGGAACGTAATGATCAAACACCGACAGATTCACAGACGAGGCAGACGCTCTCACATGACTGTCAGGTACCGGTTCGAGAGGCGGTCTGCAAGACCGGTGCCGCCAGAAAAAATGACAAAAAAACTAAAACTAAAAGTTGGTCAAAAATAATCTCAGACTATATGCTATATCTGAAATCCTCTCTCTCTTTTCTCTCTGTACATACAGCTTTACAGACCCTCAGGTTTCCATGGACCTACTGAGGGCAGTTCTTCAGCCCAGCTTTAACAATGATATCATGGCTGTATTCAAGAAGTACCAGATGGTCAGAGGTCATTTCTTAATAGACAACAGGAAACACACTTTAAATTTGATGAATCGGTGACCGTCTTTCTCTTTTGTAGTTCTTTGAGAAAGCCGCTCAGAACGTGAAGGAAAACATTGGGGAGGATGTTCAGACTGATCAACTGGTTAAAGATGCCTGCAGGAACGTCCTGGAACACGTAAGGCCACTTCCTGTTGTCTGACCTCCGACCCTTATGATCACATAATTTTCTGAAATCTGAAAGTCTGACTTCATGTCTTCTCTGCGGACATCACCAGGCCAAACAGCTATTTCCTGAGGGGGAGGTAAAGAGGGTGGGGCCAGAGATTGCAGTCAAGGTGAGAACAGTGCACTGACCAATCAGGTGATCATTCCCATTCACTGTTCTGATTTTGGGACAATGATTCTGGTTCCAACAGAGGTACAAACCCATTGACGAAGAATATGGTCCGAGAGGAAGCCCGTTTTTTAAGAAGGTACAATAACCTTTGACCTGTGACGGCGGCTACCATGAATATTCATTAACCTACTCACTGTATGTTCTCAGAGGAAGACTCGTCCAGCTGTGTCCTTGATCTCCTCTGAACGACCTCTGACCTTTTCCCAGTGAGTACCTCACCATCAATGACAATGTTGATGATGTCACAGCTGACATGTTTGCGTGTGTGTACTGTATTTTTTTAGAGCAAAGCCCAAGCCAGAGCCAATCAAGAGGGAGGGGCCAAAGGTGAGTCACTGGTCTACAACCCCCCGAGGGTTCTTAGTCCAAAAAAAAAAAAAAAATTACAAAACGTTTTAAGAATTACTGTATATTTGTAACCGTGTAGCCTCTGCGTTATGTTTAATGAAAGCCATCGTGCTGCTGTCACCAAGGCTTTTATTATAGCCTCTGCGTTATGTTTAATGAAAGCCATCGTGCTGCTGCCACCAACGCTTTTATTATTCTGACGGAATTTACATAAAACAAAATTAATTTTCCTTCTGGACACCACCCGAGCCCCTACAAAGTACAAATAAAATAAACATATTGTACAGAATTAAATAAAATGTTGAAAACAAGGAGCAACAGAAAAACACTAGCCTCTCCCACAAAGTCCGAAGAAAGAGGGAGAGGTTGGGTGTGACTGACTTTTTATTAAAAAATATAAAACAATTTTGTGGAATTATAACTACATAACTATTAACCTCTGTTATATATTCTCTGTGACACGTTTATAGAGTAGTTAATTAGTTCTTTGTGTCTTTCGTTCCAGTGGGATCCATCCAGACTGACTGACAGCAGTACATTTGTTCTTGGGTCCAGAGCAAACAAGTGAGTGGACGTCTGACTCTGTACACGATGCAGTGCAGCGTCAGTGACGCGTTGTAGTTCAGGTGTAACAAACCGCCCCAGAGCAGAATGCCTTTGATGTTTGTGTCTTTTACACGTGACGTTATGGCGTTCATGTTCTAGATTTTAGAAAGCGCCACAGGACAGGAGGGGGCACTGAGGGGCAGAGCGTTACCTCCACTCTGCCTTCCCTTCTGTAGGAGCTTTGTCTTTGTAAGGTATAATGAGCAAGTGTAGAGAAGCAAAATGTCATCAGTCCACGAATCAAATAAACCCAGGTAGTCCAGGATGAGTGGAGCACGTTTGATGTTCTTCAGGTTGATCTTCTGGTTCTTCACATCTGACCACAGGTCACGTGTTCACTGTCACTGTGTCATTATCACCGCAGGGCACTGGGAATGGGCGGCACCAGAGGACGGATCTACATCAAACATGCTGATCTCTTTAAGGTAACTCTTAACTCTTAAGGGCTCTTCCTCTCCTCCATCTCCAACATCACTACTCTCTTTGTCCTTCCTGGGTCACTCCAGTGAAGAGCTCAGCATCTTAATCTCCTCCAGCTCATAGACAGTGTCTGTAAACCTCAAACCTTCTTCCCATGTCAAACCATAATTCTTTACATTTCGTCTTCTCCAGGAGCTCACTATTAGCTCAATAATCATCAGTTCTACTGACTGTGACCATCATTTCAGTTCTACCATTCAACTCTTTGTCTTAACTGTCGGAGCTGCACATTAATAATAGACTCCTCCATCAATGATTTTTTAGATTCAAACTATTTTGTCACAGAAGCGTGTACTGTTATGACTGTGTGTGTGTGTATGCCTGTGTCAGTATGCTGCAGATGTGAAGGACAAACAGTGGCTGGCAGAGAAACACCACATGAGGGCAACAGGAGGGAAAATGGTAAGTAACTTCCTGTCACATGACCATCAAATCCCTTTCTGAGCTCAGGTTTAATGTCTTTTGTGGTTTTCTCTCAGGCGTACCTGCTGATCGAAGAGGACATTCAGGACCTGTCCCACACTGATGAATACAAGTAAGTCCATTTTGGTATGTTTCCATGGTAACAGTGTGTACACATGCCCATTAGGGATGGTGACTGACGGTGTGTGTGTGTTGTAATCACTGTCACAGGGACTGTCCTGACGTCAGGATGGACGAGATGAAACCCTTTACAGTTCCTGGTTGGATGGTGGAGAAGATGAAGAGAGCCATGGAGGGGCAGAGAGATGCTGACCTGTGACTCGGCATTTTTACCTCCACCACGTGACCCGTGTACACTCATCTCATTGGTTGCCTTAGATTATAGTTGGATTTCTTTTATTATAGCATAAAATAAAACAGTACTTTTGACTGGTGCAGGTTTCTTCGGCTGGTGACAAATCTAAACCTGTGTAAACACACAGAGCCAACTTAGACATCCGACTTTATTTATAAAAACACACAAGAACATAAAAAGGAGCTCATCATGTGGGCGCTGTCACTCGATCCCTTCCTGCTTGTCTTTGATGGCGACTCTAAAACGTTCTTCCAGCAACGACAGCTCACTGATAAGATCTGTGATGGCATTGGTGAACGCCTCCTGAGAGCAGAGAGAGAAAAAAAAGATCAATGACAATTGACAATCAGTAACAGTGGACCAGCCAAGATACTGGTAATTGCAGTTTTATTTTTTTGCAAACACTGACGAAAAAAAAGATCAATGACAATTGACAATTAGTAACAGCCAAGATGCTGGTAATTGCAGTTTTTTTTTTTTTGCAAACACTGACACCTGTCACTGTGACTGACAGCACAGGCCAAAGCTGGAGGTAAACACCAACTTACTCTTCCAACTAGACAGGATAATTATAGAGTTCACACTAAGTTATAATGGTCACCACGTCAACTTCACCTGACCTTTTATTGGGTCACATGATGCTCTCTGCCTACTGAACCCTTTTACCTGTGGACTGTAGTCTGATGTAGTCTGGACTCTGATGACGATCTTGTGTTCCAGTGGATGAGGAACTTTATAACCAGCAAATAAAACTTGGGGATCCTTCAACAGCTGACTGAAACAAACACAACCCAGGTCAGGGATTCAGCGCGTGCTTGTTGTTAGCCCATTTCAAAACATACAATATTAGTCTTTTAGCTGTGGGTTAGGCACGATGTGAGCTCTGTATGTTAGCTGTATGTGTATGTTCTCTGAGTGTGCATATTGGCTGTGTGTATGTTAGCTCGGTGTTTGTGATTAGCTGTTGGGTACGACGTGAGCTGTGTGCGTTAGGATTAAAATGCTTTATGTGTCATTGTTGAACATCTCACAACCGCACAAAACGAAACGAGTCCTCTGTCTATCACCATTGTGAGCAGGGGGCAACTCAACTCTGTTAACTGTGTGTTAGCTCTGAGAGTGCTAGCCGTGTGTGTGTTCCTCTTACGCTCGGATGATGTTTCCCACCGTATGGTCTTCTTTGTTGATAGTAAACAGACAGGCGTTGGGTACCTTGGTGTCTTTGCTGATGCTGATCTTCTTTTCTCCTTCAAACAAGAGAAACGACTCGAAGGCTGGAGGAGCATTCATCTTTACCTGCGAGACGGAACCGGAAACAAAGCTGCAAAACAAGAGTCGCACTTCCGGCTTCTTTCTTCTTCTGCGGTTACTCTTGCAGTCAAGGGTCTAATCCACTAGCTGCCAAGTAGTGATGGGAAGACCGACTTTTTTACTGATTCGGATCTTTGACTTTCGAACTGTAAAATGAACGAGTCGTGAACGAATCTTGAACGAATAATTTAGCGCTTTAGTCCTATTGTGGGCGTTGTAAAGAAGGCTGCGGTTCTCCGACACTAAATAAAACGCAAACATGGTTAGCTTCCGCTGACAAAGTCTACAAAGTACAGAAAATACCATAAGCAATTAAAACCATGTGAAAACCAAAGAAAGAAAAACACACCACAATGTGACGATGAATGAGAGTTCACAGAGAGTGATTCGTTCACAGCGAAAGATTAGTTCACAGCGAATGATTAGTTCACAGTGAAAGATTAGTATACTGAGAGTGATTCGTTCATAGCGAAAGATTAGTTCACAGAGAGTGATTCGTTCATAGTGAAAGATTAGTTCACAGTGAAAGATTCGTTTGCAATGAAAGATTAGGTCACAGTGAAAGATTAGTTTGCAGAGAGTAATTCATTCGTAGTGAAAGATTAGTTCAGTCAAAGATTAGTTTGCAGAGAGTAATTTGTTCGTAGTGAAAGATTAGTTCGCAGAGAGTGATTTGTGAGTGATTCGTGAGTTCAATATGAACAAATCTTTCATATGACTGAGGAATCACGAGTTACGAATCTTTCATATGATTCACGAGTCATATGAAAGATTAGTTCATATTGTATTGGTCTGTAAACACTATAAAACACATCGTATGTTGTATTGTACATTTGAATAAAACATCAGAAAAAGAGTAGAATTAGACACATACACAAGTTACAACAAAAACAAATATTTATGTAAACATTTGAACTAAGAGCTTTCACACAGTGACTGTATAAGATGGATATTGTGGGGTAAATTAAAATAAATTAAAATAACATAAAATAAGATGGTAGCATTTTTTAGTTTTTCCTGAGTCCACCATGATGGATTTTTCTGCTCACACTCGTCACCATAGACTGAGGGAAGACTTCCCTTCTGCTGCTGTGATTGGTCAGCATGAGCAGGTTTGTTTTTAAAAGGTGGTCTGTGGTTGGCTGCAGTTGTAGGAAAGATTTCTTTTAAACTGGGGGGCGGGAGTTCATTCAGTCAGTTACAAGCGGAGAAAAGATCGTTGTACGGTGAGTCCTAGCCGCGATGTTTTCGAACTTATGCATAGTGTCGAAATACAGCTTACAAACAAGATCCGGTTGATGAACTCATGTTATCATTTACAAAGCTTTTTACCAAAATCTGACTGTTAACTCCGGTCAGGCTAACAGCTGAGCTAACGTCGTGATAGCCCGCTGAGGTAGATACGTTAGCAAAAAGCTAAAGCAGAAACACACCGAGGAAATTAGGAGACTTTTCTCTTAACCTCTTCGTTTGTTTTAGTTTGGACTGAGGGAGTGTGCTTATCAGAACTCAAGCCTTGGTCCTAATGAGGAAGACGGTCATTTCTGAGACAGTGGCTTAGGTTAGAAAATAGTAAAAAATTCACACGGCAGCAGCCGACTGAACAAACAAACAACGAAATGAAAAGGCATTGGAATTTAAACATATTCAGTTGTTGTCATGAAGGTGTTCTGAACACACTGTTCCCCAGTGATGACTCCTGACGAAAACGACTGCACAGACATGTGTCATGATGTTTAGTTCCTCTTTCAGCTCTGATGGCGTCTCAGAACCAGGATCCTGCAGCAGCCGCTTCTTCATCTGCAGCTGCTCTGAAGGCCAACGAGAGCGGCAACAGCGCCACCCGAGGCTCTGTGTCCAAACGGTGAGAACCAGACCTCTGTCAGTTTAATGTGCACGGCCTGAAAATTGTGTGATCAGATATTGTTAACATCGTGTGTGTGTGCGTGTGTGTGTGTGTGTGTGTGTGTGTGTGTGTGTGTGTGTGTGTAGTTTGCAGCAGGAGCTCATGACACTGATGGTGAGTTTTCTTCATCTTATGTTCTTTTCACTCTGACAGGTACTTCCTGCTCATTGTGTCATGCTGTCGTTCATTGAAGTCACTCTACAAACAAATGCACTGATGATTGTCCTTCTGTGATTTTTTTTTTAAAATTTACCTTACCTGACCTGTTTGTCTGTCAGATGTCAGGTGACAAAGGAATCTCAGCGTTTCCAGAATCAGACAATCTTTTTAAGTGGATTGGAACAATTGATGGACCACAGGCAACGGTAGGTCCACAGAGTCCTCACTCTGGCTATGTCTAAACTATGTCTGCATATTTCTTGTTAATGAACGATTTTCCTGTGTCAGGTTTATGAGGGTCTCAGGTACCGACTCTCCCTGGAATTCCCAGCTGGATATCCATACCAGGCCCCCCGTGTGAAGTTCGTGACTCCATGTTTTCATCCCAATGTGGACGACCAGGGTTTTATCTGCCTGGACATTTTAAAGGATAAGTGGTCCGCGCTGTACGATGTGCGCTCCATCCTGTTGTCTGTGCAAAGCCTGCTGGGAGGTAAGGAATTCTTCTTCTGTATCACCTGGGGGGGAAAAAACACTGATACAAATGAAGACTTCTGTCCAATGGTTTCATTAAAATTCTTTAAGAACATGACCCAGTAATTGGGCGAGGATAGTATGATAAAGGATCAGTTGTGTCGACAAAGGGTTGCTGGTTGAAATTCCCTGCTCTGGAGGGTTAGGTGACGGGTGTTGAATCCAGAATAACAGACTGTAGTGATGGTCAGTTTGAAGCAGAAGCTCCGGTAGCTCGTAGTGGCAGAATCGATGCTTTTGAGATCGGCAAGTTCCACTGTTTAAATTAAAAAATGAATCGATCTTCGGATCGTCAATCCCAGTTCTGAGCTCCGTTTCGTTCTTCCTAAATACATTTGCATCGAGTCACATTTCAAGGCCCATCCAACTACCTTCAAGGCTTTAAGAGCGCCAAACCACAGCGGGATATGTGTTGTGTTTTGGCGGTGATATTGAGAAGGTAAATTTGATGGCCAACCAAAACTATGAATCTTGAAATGATGATGAAACTGTTGTGGACCATCCATCCATCTTCATTCGCTTATCCGTTACCGGGTCACGGGGGTAGCAGTCACCACCCAAATCACACTGCACCGTACCAACTTCCCTAAACCTTCCTGCTGGTGGTGAGTCCACTGGAAGGTGCCAACCGCGCTAACCGGGATTCGATCTTGCCCAGGAGGTGAACCCTGAGGTTCCACACCAACATGACAGAGGTCATTGCCTCTGGGCCTAGCGTGTTGTGGACCATTGTATTGAAAGTGAAATTTGAGAATGTCCATCATGCAAAGGTTTTTTTTTTTTTTTGAGAGAGAATGTGTGACATGATAAGTTGATGTAGCAGCGGGATCTCTGCCTGGACTGCTCAAGCTCTATGTTTGATCCCGGGGGGGGGGGCGGGACTATTCCGCAATATTTTCCAATGAAGTTTTGAAGTTGTAGATTTTGGCCACCAGATATTGTTGAGTTGAGTTAAAATGTGTTGAAACGATTTGAACAATGAAGCACTTTTGATACAAGCCAAGTGCTTCAGAAAGTATTTGCGGTGGCTGTCACTAGCAGATTATTACACAAAATAGACACACGCACACAGGCAGATCAAAGCCTTATGTGCATCTGTGACTTTTCTTCTTATAAATGCTTTGTTTTCTCCTCAGAGCCAAACAACGAGAGTCCACTGAACACGACCGCTGCAGAACTATGGGCTGACCAGGGAGGTGAGAGAGGGAGAGGGTGTGTGTGTCTATCTGTTTGTGTCTATGTTAAAATCTTCTCTCTTTTTTTTCTTTCCTTTTAGCATATAAAGCACATCTCCAGTCGACCTTCCAGAAGTGAAGATCTTCCCCCCTCTTCTTTGTCTTTCATCTTTTTTTTTGTCTTATCTAAGTTGTCTGTGTTTTGTAAAATATTTTTATGTCCAATAAAGATCTTAAACAACAGACTGTTTTCTAAAAAAAAAAGTGTCTTAACATGGTAGAAAAAAAAAAATAGAATGTCCTGTAGACCAGTGTCTCCCAACTAGTGATGTTCGATACGACCTTAAATAAAAAAAATGTGTATTTCAAATCATAGCTTCTTTAAGAATCCAAGGCAGAGTTTTTTATTTATTTTAAACTCTGGAGTGTACTGAGGTAGCTGCCTCATTTACTATACAGTCAACACGACAATAGAAAAACCTGAGAACACAATCATATAAAATAAAGCTCAGGGGGGAGGGGAGGGGATGCGCTACAGTTGGATACTTTAAAGAAAGTAAAAAGTAACCTAATTCCCATTAGGTTACTTTTAATGCAAGTAATTTAGCCCATTCAAAATGAAAAAGATAGAAATCTTGCTGTTCATCAGACGTGTAGTCCAATTGTGGTCTGGGTGAAGGTCTTGCTCTGGAGGAAATGAGTACTATGGATAGTTTTAAATTATCCAGTAAAAAACATTTTTACCTTATTTAACAAAATTGACCTTATTTGTCACGTCTGTTGATGGCAAACTCGTTTGCAACTTTAGCTTTGCTGCATGTTTTTCAAAGAAGACTTTTCTTACTCAAAAAGAATACATCTCACCCAGTTTGTCACCATTTGTTGTTGGAGGAAATGAGTACTATGGATAGTTTTAAATTATCCAGTATTATCCAGTAAAAACATTTTTACCTTATTTAACAAAATTTGTCACGTCTGTTGATGGCAAACTCGTTTGCCACTTTGGCTTTGCTGCATGTTTTTCAAAGAAGACTTTTCTTACTCGAAAAAGAATACATCTCACCCAGTTTTGTCACCATTTGTTGTTCCATCTCAAAAGAACCGCAAATGTGTATAACTTTGACTTGGTGAGCGGACGTGTCGCTGCCCGTTC